AGTGGCCGTTCGAGAATAACATCGAAGGCACGTCAAAAGCGATGAAAATGCGCTTGGTAAACACAGATAAACAACAGCAGTGTCCGCGGCGTATCCACCGTAGGCTACTGCTGACTGCTGTCGTCTACAGCAGTAGTGTACAGCTGTCCATCTCCGTTTGCGACCGTGACCGCATTTGATGCAAGTTCCGTAAGCCGTAGCGATTGTGGGACGTGAACGGGTTGAGATCAAGAAACACGCACCAACAGTCACTTTCACGGTAAGCTTACCATACGTAATGACGCCGTTCCGCAAATTGCAATCTGCAATTGGTTCTCCGTTCTCCGTGGTCTATTGAGTCGAAAAGGCGGCCGGTTCAGGCCCCTCGGAAAACACTCTTCGGGACAACGTTATTACGCCGACCTCGGCACCTCCGCCGCGGGCCGCGGGCAGGATGTAAGTGGGGCTTGCGTGTGAAAATCGCCTAGATGCATGCGAGGGTGCTGCGTTGCTCTGGCGGCCCATGGATGACGACAAGCAACAACGAAGCAAGGGTACCAAAAGGCCGCGAACGGAGCGTGGGGATATGGCAACAGCTGCACGAACATCCAACGGCGCTGGGAGAGTAGGGGACCAGGAGCAGCCCAGCCAAGAGCAGTTACAAGAGGAAGCCGGAGGAGGGCGGGGAAAGGCTGGCAGCCGTGGTTCTACGGACAGTCTTCCACGGGCTTACAGGTGACTTCTGGAACATTAGCAGATAACTTGCGTGCGAAGATAATCTTGCGCCCTTGTAAGCCTCGCAGGCAGCGCAGAATCGCAGGCAATTCGACCGCGAGGGCGGCAGCGCGTGTATCTACACGCTCCGATGCTGATGGTGCTGTGCATGGTCAATCCGTTTAGAGTTCACCTTTCGTTACCCACGTCAATCCAGGCGCTTGTCCTTTAGCTTGCTGTCAAGGTCGCTATATGCGTCTACATCCCCATGTTTCAATCTGCTTCAATCTCAAGGAATGCTCCCCTGTCGTCCGTTGCAAAAGACACCACGCCCCCCGACCGCTTTTTGGCCCGATTACTCCACAACGAAAATGATGCCTAGGAAATCAAATGAAACGTTTTTGGAAAGCCCTCGATGAGATGGTTCCAACGCTGTCATCCGTGACACTGTTGTTGCTTTTGTTGCACGGTATCGAGCTTTGAAAATCGGCCCAAGGGGTGTGGTATCTTGTGCAATATGCATATCATACCTCAGGCACTGCCGCAGGCTGCAAGATCGTTGCACACCAGCTTGTCCATCTGTATCTGAGACATCACGTATCGCATACGACATGCCCCACAGCTACAGTACAGCCACGACCAAAGGGAGCGGGCAACGGCGAGATATTCATTATTTTCATGGCCGAAAGAGGGGTACAGAACTCGCGACCACTTTAAGAACCTAGCAGTTAAGAACTTGGGCCTCAAAAATGCAATCTCTAAGAACTTGGCCGTAAGAGCAGGTGCCCAGTCAAGGAACCCATAACCTATAAAGTCGCCGTGGGGGTATCCCATAGACATTTGAAGCGAGCATCGGCCGAAATTAGAGGTTCTTGAGCCACAAGCTACGGCCTGGCCCCAACCATGTACAGCAGTGGTGTACAGTAGTCTAGCCGATGTTCAGCGGCCTAAACTATACCCCATGTAAGGCGATCAGCGTTGGCAAGGCAATCTGCCAACAAGACACCAAGTAACCCAAGATCATCGCATGCGTAGACTACACGTACATATGGAGCGAATGATTATCTTCTCTGTCCACACTTGTACAAATTTGTTTCCACACAACAGATGTCGCGGTGTTTCAAAGCATCATGCGCGTCTTGGCTGGGATCCCATACGTATGTAACGGGGGTATTGGTTGTTTCAAAATATATCAGCCGCACCTGAGGTCATTCAGTCGCTTGGAGGGGAGGGGAATCTCCTGGAGGTTGGCAAACTTGAGCAGCTACCAGCGTAATACAGGGCGTGCAGCTCAAGGGGGAACTCATTTAGTATGCCGTAAGAGAGTGTTCTTTGTGGAATCGGCCTTTGAAGATGGTTGGCATTGCCCTCCTTATGCCGGCATCGCAGTACCGGGTATACCCCCAGTTGATCGTAAGCAAGCGTGCGATGGAGTGTTATCAGGGCCACGCACCCCAACAAATTGAAGGTTGGTGGGGAGCGGGGGTGAGCTTCTCTGCTGCCGGTTCGATGCTCGGGAGCTACACGTTTTGTTGGTAGAGCGTATTTCCTGATACATTCTACAGGTGTTCGAACAGAACCCCAGCAGTACCGACGTTGTTATGCCCACTGCAACAAACCTGTACACTTGAATGGCAAGTATCGGTCAGAGACATCGCTCCATGTCGCCCCACTGCCTCACTGCATAGTGTTTTGTGTCGTCTGTTGTGTGTGCCGAGCAGCCGCATTTCGCCGCTACCCCAGCAACACCCGAGGTTGGCCAACACCGATCTGCCGGGGTGTATCGTTCGGCAGGACTTCCACTGCGCGGTGCTTTCTGACGCGTTCGGCCAGGAAGGCGTGGAGCAATGCCTGAGCTTCCACCCGAACGGTCTGGCGGTCGTACAGCTCGCTCCGACGCATCCTGCGGTGGGGGATGGTGACAGGCAAGCGCGAAGAGCATGCTGTTCGACGTTTTGAGGCTTACAAGTTTCGGTCGTGGGTGAACCCGTTGATACAAGAGTGAGCTACGGGTGTGTAGGTTCTCTCGTGGTTGAGATCTCATGAACCAATTCAAGGACCCTCAGAGTTGATAGTTGCAAGTGGCGTGGTGTATGACGCACAACATGATGTTGGTATTGGGCACGTGGGACGTGCTGCTGTTGGCTTTGCGCAAGTCTTGCACCAGGCATTCACTGACAGTAGTGAAGGACCCAGCCCTGCTCACCATCACGATACAGGACTTCCAGCACACGTCCGCTGACTCAACGGCTTTCTTTTTTTTCCCTGCCACTCCCACCCGATCCAGCGCTATCGTAGCCGCGGATTTCGATGAGGGAGGGTGCAACGTGCTCGAGTCCGCGACTGTCAAGGGGAAGAAAAAGAAGGGGGCCCTTCAATTGCACCCGACGACGATCCTGTGCAATGTCAAGACACGGGGCGGGAAGGAATACAAGGTACATATCGGATGACTAAAAACACTGGTATGTTTGATACAGGAGTGGGCATCCTCGCTTGCCCACTTGGGGTGAACACCAGCTGGCGTGATTGTCGCACGGTTCACCGTTTAGCAATCGAGCAGGGGTGCATGTATATCGCGACGACTAGGAGTGTCAAGCACGGCCTCCGCACCGGTTGTAATACACGAACCGCGACACAGCAGATCACTGATGCCCGCGCTTTACCCATTCTCTCGTTGCCACGCCCAGATCTGCACGGGAACATCCGGTGAGCTAATCCAACCCAACAAGACGCTCGCGGAAAATCCTGGGCTGATGAGCGAAGATGTGAGTCCGCTAGTAGCATGTTCTTCCTCCTGGGAAGCGTGTTTGGGATGGTAAACTGAGCCACGGTCCTTCGAGGTTTTGACGGAGAGGACCCTCCGCTTGAAACTTACGCAGTTCCCCGGTTTGTTTTCCGGTACTCGCGCTCCTCTGTGTGGTTTGAATCGATTCTTGTTTCTCACGCGTGGTTTTTCCTTTTTGTATTTTACCCCCCAAACATCACGTTCTGAGTGGAGTCAAGAATGCGGAGATTCCGGCAACCCCCCATGATGAAGTACAGATCGCGCCGCCATTCAAGACCTAGTCAGAAGGGCAACTGAGGCTCCCCTTGTTCTTCACAAATAAAAGCACAACATGCAATGCTGGCAGAAAAGCCCGCAATCCAGCCCCGACAATGAGTGTCCATGGCTGGAAAAATATTTCACACTACGAGTTCTAGGCGAAGACCCAGTCGTCAAAGGGTAATTTAGTACGCGCTGCGATTGTGATGTCTAACCCGGGGTGCAAATATACGCGCATAGGTTAGCTGCAAGCGCACTGGACTCTGCTTCGCTAATACCTTGTCCAGTTGTTGTCACGTGTTTGATTAGCCTTTTCCAAGACGCTACGCACGTTATTCCGTTACTATCTCATTTCGGATAGGTGTGCGTATCATGGATTTCTAATAGGCCCCGTGCAACTGACCGGTTTCCATAATTTCCCCCCCTCGTTTCAACCACGCCTCTGATCAATCGTACGCTAGCCGCTAGGCAGGGGGTGGCTGGCGATAATCCGGCTCAAGCCGCGAGACCTACGGCGGCTACAGGAGGCGTTAGGGGTGACAGAGGAACGATAAAAGCCAGTCAATACCCTGCATGGGGCTCAGCCGATCGTGCGGAGCAGCTCCGCACCCCTTTACCACTGCTGTGGACAGTTTTCATCGGGTAGACGATAAACATGGGATGTTGTACCACAAGGGAGTTTAGAACTAGTGGTAGCCTGGTCCACTGGGGCCAAGTCCTTTCCTCTTGTCATGCTGCGAATACCCGCTTTGACTAGACAGTAGCTTTTGTTCTAGGCATAGCTCCACAATATGGGACCGCTCGCGCGATCAATAATTTAGGAGGATATAGAACAGGAAGGTAGGGGGGAAGCAGACCCTATTCCAACCCTAAACCTAACCCAGCTTCTCTGATTGTATCCTTTCTTCCAACATATCTACATAGTAGGAAAACCCTACGAAGGCTACTGGGACTGAAAAGGTGCCTGGCTTTGTTGATGTTGAGTTTTTCGGGGCTCCATTTCGTTGCACGGTCTACTTGTACTTTTGGGATGAAGGGTTGTGGGTGTTGACTATGAAGTTTCGTATCGGTTCTCGAATGGTTCTCGGAAGGGATGTTGTTGACTGTTGTCGGACTTGTGGCTCGTTTATTGTCGCCTTTATTTGCCTTGTGCTTGTGGTCGTTCCGCCGATTTCGGAAACAAGAACGCCCGTGATACCACGGCTGTGAAGCCCGAACATGCCCTGGGGAACTGTCATCCACAAGCGGCGGTAGTGAGTGGTCCACCTGCATAGGTCTCTTGGATATCGCTCTCTGCGCCATATGAATACACACACATTGGAGGCGGAAGTATTATCCCGGGTGCCTTGTGCTACTGGCGGGTGTCTTGGGTGCTGACGCGTTGCCTTCTTTGCTGTTCGAAGCGACCCATAGAAATTCGGGTGTAGATAGTAGATAAGGCGTGAGTCAAACAAGCCCGGAAGGAGTTGAGTCCATTTATCGGAACAAAAATTATACGCGGCGGTGCGTCAAAAGGGAGACGAACCCGTTCTCCAGGGCGCAATATGGTTTTGTGTTGACCTGAAAATCACACACCGTTCGGTGAGATGTTCCGAACGATATTACCGCCAACGATATGTAACGATACTGTGAAAGCATTCTGATGTTTAATTATGAGTGGTGTGAGGAGCCTTACTCTCTGATGTGACCCTCACACGCTGAAGACAACAACATTACTACCCACCTTCCTAGACACCTTCCAGGACTAAGACCGTCATTCCCCAGCACTGCACGTCACGCAGCCTCCTCCTGAGTCCGCCTCCTGCGATCACCTATCCGCATCGTCGGAATGCTGTGTCGCTGCTCTCCTCGGTGCTGTTGCTCTCAAGGGCGATTTGGGCGGATCACGCCCGGTGTGTACTCTTTGTGTGTCCATTGCCCAGTTTCCTTGGAGGCACATCTACATAAGAAGGCGCAATTAGAGCCCACAGGCAATCCGGGGGTTGTGTTCAGCCACTTGGCCCTTACGGTGTAGGTCAAGGTTGTCTTAGCGGCTTCTGCAAGTGGAAGAGGATGACCCCCTCTGTTTTCGTGCGAGTGTCGTTCAGGTTCGCTTCGCGGCGTGATCGAAAAGCTCACCTGCGTTGATCATGTACTACCGCTGGCTCGCTCTCCTTCCTCCTATTGCACCCATGAATGAACCCCACAAAGGCCGACTCTTCGTCACACAAGCACCCCTTTGAACTTGCAAACAATAGACATGACACCATATGTGTCTCAGGCCAGCTCCCTTTCAGATTTCTTCTAAACCACATCATGATCGTTCCCTGGCCGACATTGTCTGTGATGTCCACTACGCGCGAATGATCTTTTTGTAAGCCGAGTGTTTGTGTTCAGCGAACGCTGGATTCAGGAATGAGCAACCTCTTTGCAAATGGCTTGTTGACGCTGGTGGGTTGAGATTCACGGGAAGATCACTCTCCACTGTTTGGCTGGATCTCTGATGAACCCCTGCCTTTCCCTCACGGGTTAATGAAATGATGAATGCTAGCCATTTCAGCGAGAGGGAGAGAGAGAGAGAGAGAGTATTTTGTGCCCAGGTGCCCAGGTACCCCGCTCTCCGTGCGTGATTTCCGAGAACGCTGCAAGTGCATTGGGATATGGCCTTGACCTGAACATTACGGTATCGCCCTCTCAGTGCCCATCATTTGCTATTCGCTACATGTAGCATGAGTGGTCTATATTTGTAGCTCGTCGTTCGTAAGCTTTGCAGACTCATACGATCCTATCCCCTTCTTTTCCAACTCGCACAGAAGAAACGCGGCGTGGGCCATCAACAATAAAATCTCCTATCTCCGTGATCGCATCGTTGGTGGGCACAAATGCCAAGCAAATGTTGGGCCTTAAAATGCACGACCTAGGCGTCGTTTAACCACGAGGGAAGAAAAAACGCTCTGTACTACAGACGACATACCGACGACTCAATGGTGAACGTGGTGAACAAGCGTTGCGCCCACGCTGAAGGGTGCACGAAGCAGCCGGTTTTCAACCACGCCGGCAGCCAGACGGGGGCGTACTGCAGACGGCATGCCGAGGAGTCCATGGGAGACGTGCGTAGCAAGCGTTGCGCCTACGCTGGAAGTTGCGGAAGTCATCCAATTTGGGGGTACTGGGCAGACGGGAGGGCACGGAATGCGCCAAACACAAGGCGATCTTACAGACGGGCTCGTGATCAACTACTCACGGAAATGCAGCACACACGGTGTGAAAGGATGCGGCAAAACGGTGACGTTGGGGGTGGATGGCGAGCATCCCACTCATCGCGACGAGCACGGTGCACAGAGTGCCCGCTTCGTCCGCGTTCCGAGCGGTCGGACGAGGACATCGGCTTACTCTTTCTCCCCTGGACCAACCGTGGGCAGACGCCGTACCGCCGGGGTTGGCGAGGGAGGACGAAGCGGAGACCACGGCAGGGGTGGAGTCAAGAGGGCCCGCAAGGTACCACCGCCCGGTGGAGAGCTCACATCTGGGGCGCGCTGATGACTTGTGACATACATCAACGAATGGTTCACATCGAAGGATGTCCCTGAGCGGCTGCATACAACAATAGTAAGGGGGAGGATAACTCCCCTCTAAAATGGGCCATAAAGGTCCTGTCCCCTGTTCTATCCTTCAAATGGGAGTTGCATTTCCCGCACTTTCCTCAGGGAATTACTCCTCCTGAAAATCGTTGATATTTGCTACAACTCAAATCCCATACCAGAGTTGCGTTGCATCAACGTCGCACGACTACCTACCACCTAAATTGTTTCTTTGTCAATGTAGGTTGCCTACAGTACATGACACTACGTATTGGTTGTTGTATGCCGAAATTCGGGGCCACCAGGTTCGGGCACGGAAGGGAGCCAAAACTCAATCCTTAGCTGGCTTCTGATAGTATCGGCGCATGCATGTGTGGTGCTTCCATGTAGCAGCCTCCAGTTGACTACATTTTCTTTTTCAAGGCACTTTCTGAAAAACACGCGCAAGCTCAACGTTGATGTTTGCAGGTATAGAAACATTCGCCCGCCGTTGAGGGTCGTCGCGCATGCATTTGCCGGCGCCCAGAATACGAGAAAAATAAGCGCCAGTGTGAACCAAGTTACTTTTACATTGCAGCACACTTTCACGGCGGTATCCGCACATCTCTAAATAAGGCTCAAGGGCTACAGGCATGGTACGTTCGTGCCACCGAACCTTCAAACGAAACTCTAAATCGGTGCTGGTGACATGGATTCATGCATCTGACGCACCGCAACATCGAATGTCCCAGTACACATACTGACGGCTGGAGGCCAGGCACGATCAAATGTGCGTGCCAAGCCGACAAAAACAGAACTTTTACCTAGTACTTCGAAGTGTCTAACAACGACCCATGGCCGCGGACTCCCTGACAACCATCCTGACGCCCCGCGCTTCTATCGCGACGAAGCACCCGCCAGAGAGAGAGAGAAAAGGTCCCCGAAGTTTTCTGATTGGCCAACTTTTTGAAAGGAATTTTCGCTGTATACGAAAATCCCATCTTCGACCGATGACGTCAGCCACGGTCATGAGGTGAAAAAAAATCAACTTCGCCGTGAGTGACGGCTGGATTGACTGATGACAAGATTCACTCGCCGGAATCGCCAACCACACGTGTGCCCCGGACGAACGCATTTACTGCTGGCTGCACCGATCCACCCCGTGGCTGGGTGTTGAACCCACCATCCCCTCTCCTTCTCTTGTGAAATAATCGCATCCACACGACGACAGATCGGTGTGACCGGCACCATGGGGTTGTGATGCTCGGGTCAAGGGCCAAGCGAGAAAATGCATCGTCTATACTCCTGAGCATATGTTGGCACGTGTCAGGACGAAGATGGCAAGGTCGTGTTCGACTGCTACTGTGCCAGCACAACCTTCCATCACCAGCAGCAGCTACCGGTGGTGCTTCGTGGGGCAGACCAAGCTGTCCGTACAACCCCGCATGGGTAAACATACATGTAGACACGCGTGTGTATAGACTACAGGGGAGCCGTTTCAAAGAGAGTTCACCCGAACCGAAAACCGAACCCTCCCTCAATCAGTCGAAGGAGAACAGCCAAACACGCATCCACGCATCCTCGACGAAAGAGGGGTAGGTATTGCGAAGACCGGGGCGATGTGTGCCCTCATTCTGCGTCTTCGACTTTTTGACCTTTGACCAAGTCTCGAACACAGCAGGTATCGCCCGCTGCCGTTAGGTTTTGAATCTGGGAGACACAATGGGAGGAGACATGGACGAGACCTAGATGTCGCTTAGCGGAGGCAAGNCAGCAGGTATCGCCCGCTGCCGTTAGGTTTTGAATCTGGGAGACACAATGGGAGGAGACATGGACTAGACCTCGATGTCGCTTAGCGGAGGCAAGAGAAGAGCCTTCCCACGTGCATCGATGTGTACAAATGTTCTCTGCTCTGGACGGCCGGTGAAAGGTGGCGGAGTTTGCATGCAACACGCCCTTTCTCACTAGGAATGAACACGGAACCAAAAGCACGTACTGGTACATGATAACAGCTTGGAGTGTTGGCTTCGTCACCCGGACTGTCGATCTTCGATAGGGGTAGGCGTGAGCATGGGGTACTTTCTGAGCTGGACGTGCCAGGTTGTTGTCAAATCGAGCAGTTGATGAGCTGAAAGACGCACCCTCACATGCATCAATGCTCGAAGCAACCCCGCTGAACGATGTACCTCTTCGGCATTCGCGTGGTCGGCGTATGACGAATCCTGTCCAGTAGAACTATGGTGAAGACCGAGCCAGCGAAGACACCAAGGATCGATTCATTTTTCCCGGCATCGGTGAGTGCTTCTGGAAGAAGAAGCTAGCACTACTCGAGCCTCACTTCCCTCAGTCTCCGTTTGGTCCGATTCGAAGAACAAATGGTGGTGTGTCTGTATGAGTATGTGCAGTAGTGCTGGGTTGTTGGAGGTTAGACTCCCGCTCATGGTATCGTCCATCAACATCCAAAACTCCCGAAATTCGATCGATCGCTCGTACCTCGAGTACCCACACCTCGGTACGCGTTCGTTCTGTCTTCAAGTTGGCTACTGCACGCAGCTTATTCTGTCTGTTCGATTCACTCTCCACCGCGTCGTCCTGTTACACCCCGTTCAAGAGCCGAGCCGCGCAAACACCGGGAGCGTTGAGACCGGGAGCGTTGAGCCACCTACCGACCAACAGCCCTCAGAAGGCTGGCACAAGGCCGGCCCGCGAGGCGAAAACTGTGTGTTGTTGAAACTGCTGCGGATCGCCAACCACTTTACGCGAAGCACATGCCCAATCCATGTGTGCAGACAGGTCTACAAAGAGGAGAATCTTCTTGGTTTTGCCAGTTCAATGTTGAAGTCACGCCTGATCTGTCTGTGGCAGTCTCTCCCGCCCCCTCCGTTTGCACGCCCACACTCGCACACGCTCCACACATTCGCCGTTCGCCGTTCGCCGTGGATCTCACACTGAAAAGGATGAAAGCTAGTTATATTCTTGTGGCTGGAACAAACCCGCACGATTTTACGCGAGAGAGGTGTGTTCACGAAACATAGGCTAACTCTTGTCCGAGTCACCATGGGGGGAGAATTTCTTGTAAACATTGTGAGAAATAGAGGAAATTGGAGAGCAATAATCACGGTCCCCACATACGCGCCCTTTCCGACGTTGTCATACTTTCGCGCTTCCACCGGTGCAGACGGTCCGGAGGTCCAACAGACCCCGTCCTTCTGTTCGATACGACGGCGACGGCAGCAACGACGACAGTGACTGCAGTCTTCCGGAAGAGGAAAGCGAGGATGAGAAGGAGAATAAGGATAAACCTCTTCTTTCACGGCCACCTTGCCAATGGGTCGTAGCTCGACGGCCCTACACCCGGGCGCGACACCTGCACTCCATATCGGCAAGATTGGTATCCTCGCCATAGTTTCAAACCGACGAGTTTCTCATCGTCACCACTCTGTCCCACGTGTTTTCCGTTGCCCTTTTCTTTACCACTCAACAGCCCGTCGCGTCGAAGGGGAAGAAGAGGAAAAAGCCCACCTCGTCGAAGGGGAAGAAGCCGAGCAAAAGTCGACACGCCTACCGGCCCGTGGACTCCCGGTACGCGGAGATGACGACTGCGCGCATCTTCAACGAGGGCCACATCGCCACGGGCAGCTTCTCGTACAACCATCCTCTGTTCGAGAAGGAGGCGGCAGCTTTCAACGACATCAAAGTCGACGGGAAACCGGTGTGGCAGAAACAACCACCCGGCCCCTCTACACTGCACAACAGTGTCGTCATCAACGACCGCTTCCCTTCGCTGGCCCCGTTCTTGGGACCGGTGGAGAAGAAGTTGTGCAAGCCGAGACCCACGACCGACCGCTTGTTCCTCAAGCAGAGGGCGCAACAGTACACGACGTCCGGTCGGAGACACCGCGACGGCAAGAACGGGCCGTGGCGGATGTGCGTCACCATCCACGACCCGGCCGCACCCCCACACGCCAAGCAGCTGGAGATTGGGTTGGCGGACGGCAGCAAGGCGAAGGGTGACGGCGCCGTCAACCCGTTCCAGACCAAAGCTGACGGTACACCGGACTCTCGCCGCTTCGACTGCCCGTCGGGGTCGTACCACCTCATGGACGAGGTGGCCACCGGCACCGTTTCTCACGCGTCCCACAAGGAATCGTGGACGACGAGAGCAAGCGGGTCTTCCTGCGACAGGAGCGGCACTGGCAGTGTGGAAACTGCAGATGCAAGCCCCCGGAGAGTGCCACGATGACGAGAAACGGCGTGGTGTACAAGGTCCGGTCCGGGACGGACGGGCAATTCCGGGTGGCGAAGCGGACCACCACGTGACGCGATGGTGGCTTGAGTCCGACAAGCGGATGAGGTTGCGGGGGGGGGGGG